AGGAATTAAAAATGCTGTCAATACCACTCCTCAGTCATACTCAGAGTATATCTGATGAGTAATTACCTTTAATTTTAACACACACATCCCCAAAGAAAAATCTTTGTTTCTTTTAAAGAGATTTTTAAGTGTTGTGGTTTGTGCTGCTCTGAGAAAAATCTCTATAGACATTTAACCTGGCCACGATGAGTTACTAGTGCATGTGTTTTTCTGCAAATAGAATTTCTTTTTAAGTTAATATAATTTCTCCTTCTTCGTGTAGCCAATAAAAATGCTAATGATGACAGAGCATATCAAAGTGTGGCACTTCCTGCAGAGCACTCTTGTGGCTGTCCCCTGGCAAGCAACACTCTTTATTTCCTCCCAAACTGCCTCTACGGCCTTGTGTTTTGTCATGATGAGCAACACAAAACTTTAAACCTGTTCACTTACTGTCAATATAGCTGCAGGGTAACGCCCTGCTCATTGGAGTGGTTATCGAATGCCACGGCTTGTCTGGCAATCTCAAAACTTTTTTCAGTCTGTGATTTTTGTCATGGTCTTTCAGAATTTTGCACAAAAAACCGCACAAGTATGAAGTCTTTACTTACTCTGGATCTTCTAGCTTATCATTGGAGAGTGCATGTTATACTGTATTATGTATACTGTATCTTCGTGTAGTGATGATTTTTCTCGAAGGTGGCATTGATGTTATGTGCACTTGTTTCTTTTTTTTTTTTTCTTTTCCACCAGGACCCTTCAATTTTATTTTATTTTCTTTTTTCTCAGTGATTTTTCTTTGCAATGCTCTAGTCTCCCAAAGCATGCTGGGTGCTAAACAATCATTATTGCGTCATGTCGTTGAGCTGCTTTGTGTAACGAGCCAAGGGGGGAGACCAGGGGTGGGAGGGTGGAGAGAGGAGAAGGAGGAGAAGATAAAGTCAAGCCAGTGCATGAAAATGTCACTGTTTCCTGTATACTACAAGTAATGATATCAGCATTGGAAAGCTATTTTCATTCCAAACATCACATTTGAATTTGGTTCAGCTTCTTTTATAATCGATGTGTTTTCTTTTCAGTGCAATGCATTTTTAGAGCCCAAGTATGCAGTTTTAGATGAGAATCTGCCAATGACATGGGAATAATTGAAATTATCTTTACTAGAAAGCTGATGCTATAGAATCTGTGCAGTCTGACAGTATATTGTGAAAAAGCTGCCACTTTGAGTCTCTGAAATAATAGTCGTAGTAATTTCTCTGCCATGCACTGCTCCATTAATTCAGATCTATACGTTTTGCTGGGTTTGATTCCAAGTAAAAAGAAAATGTTTATTGGTAATATTGTGTTTTACCTATATTTTCCATGTGTTTTAATGTATTTTTCTGTCTAGCCAAATTAATTTTACACAGCTCAACTTCAGAAGAAGGTAAAATCAAAGAGATAATACCTTCCAGACAAATTGGCCCATTCTTCTGTTGTATGCAGTGCTCCAAAAGAGGCTGCGCTTTGAATGTGATACTGCTGTTGACATTAGTTCTAGAGAATAGTTACTCTTGGGTCAAAATACTTCTCAACACCTTTCGAGACATCATCAATGAGATCCCCAAATTGGCAAGGTGACTCCAAATATTTTGCACTTTGAACTTTGGTCTTTTGTCAGTTGATCTTAGGCTGAGAGTCACTTCTTGGAGGGAAGCAGTACATGCTCCAGCTCTCTGGGCGAGGGGCTCAACACAGTCTGTACGTCATCTCTTGCCAACACAAAGAAAAATATGAACCCAGCACAAGATGTTGGGAAGTAAATGGCACTAGATGGGTTGGAAATACCATGCCACTGAATGAGGAAGGGAGATTCACCTTATGTGTGTGCTGGAAGCCTCCTTTCAAGATACAAAATGGAAGAGCATAAACTAAAAATCATTATTTAAGCCAAAAAAAATTTTACTCACTTTTGCCCATAGTCTTCTAGCACAAAATTAACTTGGGTTACCTAGTATTAAATCTGAACTCTCAGCCTAAAAGAGTGGTCTTTGGACATTTTTGTGTCATGTTTTTTGCAAACAAAAGTGGTCTGGGAGGGCAATATGCATTACATAATTAAATATCAACCCAATTACTGTAAAAATTTTTTTTCTAATTTCAGTATTTTTGGTTCTTTGGCATGCATCGATGCCCAAGATGAATGTTCAAAGTGGGCTGAAAGTACAATGGAGATGTTAATTTCCAGATGAGCACATCTCCTAGATAATAAATTCTCTTACTGCTCTATCCACCTGACTTTCTGACCTGGTGAAATCAACTGATTTTAAAACATAAATTGCTGCTTTAAGTTTTTGCTCTTCTATCTCATTTCTGTGGAGTTTTTTTGTGTGTTTGTTTAAGGCATTCAAATGCAGCACCAGTAGAAGACACTAATTTGTTATCAAGGAGTAAATTTGATGCAACAATAACAACCCTTTTCTCATACAGAGCCACTTGCGACATATAATTTCAGTCTTCAGAATGTTTGCTCTCTTGAAAATGATGAAGTGATGAAATATAGAGCAGACAGCGAAAAAAAGAATTATAGATTCATAAATTGCAGAGATATTGTTTTTTATACAATTTACTGACATTTAAACATTCATAAATTCGATGTAAGCTGTAGTGTTGAGTGCTGAGCTGCTGAATTAAGAACTGAAATAACCATATAATATTTCTTCCTTTGAAATTAATTTCTATTACTTTGGAAATAGACCTGATTTTCCTGTGCACCTAGGTAGAAGGCAGTAAGTTCTGGTTTTTCTTAGCCCAGTGCTACCAAACCTCATATTAAATAGAAACAATTTGCTTTTCTAATTAGCAAAACCAGAAAAATCTCTCTCACACCCTCCACCCCCAGCTCCTTTTTCTTTTCTTTTTGTTTTCTTTTTTTTTTTTTTTAAAGGGTCTTAGTTTTACTATTAGTACTAAAATCACTGGAGAGAGGTAATTGTGTAACAAACTGACTCCTTCATAATCTTTATTTGATTGCTGGAGTGGTATGTATCTCCTTTCTTCCTCTCTGAAACACTGAAATACATTTTTACAATGGAACACACAGGAAAGAAGTTGAAGGTGGAATAATAAATCACAATTGATAATTTTCTAAGATATTTCTAAAGGAACAGTGTTGATGGGAAATCTTCGTACAAGAGATTTTATTACTGTGGTTTATTTCATCATTTCAGCTGCTGACTGTGAATGTTCTTATCATTTGTCCTGGTGTGAGGTACTTCACAGAAAAGGTAGATGGCTGTTTTTTGGAAATAATAGAGGACAGGAACTTTTCTGAAGAAGTTCACATTGGTGTTGAGAGCAGCCATGGGGAGAGTTAGGTTAAGTATAACCCTGCTCCCCATCCCACGCTATACACGTTGACTGAAGTGCTGCTGTAATTTTTGAACTTGAGTCACCTTTCAATCCTATCACTGTGTTCAGATTCAAATTAGACAAAAAATTAGTATAACAAAGCATGGAGGGCAGAGGGGAGTTACTCATTGGATCCTTTGAATTTGGAAAACAGTATGAAATGGATTGACAACTTCTGTGACTCACAAAACGCTTGAATGAAGAACTGAATCATTACAGTATATAGTTTGCCCCCTTAGTCTGAGAAAATGAAGACTTGAAAGGTTAAAATATATTAAAAAATAAAATATTTTTGCCTTAATGAAAGAAAAATAATAGAGCGAGAGCAACAGAGACATATTTCATATTCACATGTCTTGTTCTCTCAGTGACTTTGCCCACAAATACCCAACCTGAAGTCCCAGGGAAGTATCCAACTTACCTCAAGTCCATGTGTCCATCTGGTCCATGACCTCCTACTTCTTAAGGGTCCCTCAGCCATGGGTGAGGAGTAGGCTGCAGACCAGATCTCTGGTTCTGTCTTACAGCCTCTCTGTTTCCTAACATGTCTTACAGTCCTTATTGTATCATATAACAAGAGGCTCATAGAAGCAATAGAAGAAGTGGTGGCAATTAAGAATGGGCTTCTGTCACCAAAACTAGTCACTTCTGGTCTTCATCCTGCCCTTTGTTCACATCTCAAGGGTGCTTACAAAGGGTGCCTGGGAGCAGACCGCAGGTGGGTGAATTGTCCTAGCAACATCACCCTTTGTGCTCACTTGGGGCTGGGGGTCCTAGTTATACAACGGATTGGTGACCCACTGATGATGGGCACTGCAGTAAATCTGTTGCTTACAGTCTGTTTATGTAGGATACACAAGCCAGCTGCACCCAGCATGACAGCACAGCCAGAGCCTGGTGGCAGGGTGGCATTGACTGTGTGGTCCCTGGCAGCAGGGAGCTTGGACACCTCTCCCTTTGGCGATGCCTTGAAAACAGACTGCAAACAAAGCATCACGTCCATCTCATCAGCTGTGAAGCTTAATTAAAGAGGACTGGTACACTTTGCCGTCTCTGGCAGAAATTTTGATAGCTGGAAGGAAAAGAGAGCCTGAGGAAAGGTGCTTTATAAAAAGAAATGGTGAATCAATAATTTCTCCATTGCCTCTTTTCCTAAGAAGCTGAAAATCTGAGTCCTTGCAGTCCTACATATGCCAATCACAGAGAGAGGGTGAGCAATCCGGTCACGGTGGCCCTGGGGGTCACGGCTGAGCTCACGATGCGAGGGTGACTCGGCGTGTTTAACGCTTCTGTCTTTCCCCATCTGTCTAACCACAGGGCTGCTCTTCGCCAATCGTAGTGAAGTTTGCTGACACCCAGAAGGACAAGGAGCAGCGGCGTTTGCAGCAGCAGTTGGCACAGCAGATGCAACAGCTCAATACTGCCACTTGGGGAAACCTCACAGGTCTTGGAGGACTCACACCACAATACCTAGCTGTAAGTGCATTTCCAAGGCAGTGGCTGTATTTATTTATTATGCTGTATTTATTTTAGAACCGTGGTAAATCAGCTATAGTAAAAACCCTGCAATAAATTGCTAAGTCCTCCAGGATACGTAGCATGTCTCCTTCTTCATAAAAAGCTCAGTATGTTTATCACATGGTCTAAAAATAAATAACCGGGAATTTGAATAAACATTTCAAGATGTGTCAGTGCTGTCCAGGGCAAGCATTTAAAGATTACTTATGCTGCAAAATAAAATTTGATTCCATTAGTTTTATTGTGCTTTTCAATGTTAGAGTCTGGGGTTTATAGCTGGAATAAAATTTAAGTTCTTCCTTAGAGGAGGGCAAATAGGCACCTGAACACTGTAGGGGCCATATCTGTGTGGTGCAGCCTTCAAACTAGAATGTTGTGGTTCGGTTGTCTAATTTTCCACATTTTCATTTGGAAATGGCTTTCACTTTAATGTGTGGTCTTGTCAGTGTTAAACATGCATGGGTCATACTACCTGGGACAGAAAGTGAAGATGGCAGGGGAAAGCAATTTGTTTCTCATAAATTTAAAATGGTGTTTTTCTTGGTCAATTTGTAAGAAGAGAAACAGATGTTAACTGCTTGCCCTGATGGAGAAATCTGAAATCCACAGCCATGTGTCTTCAGTCCTGGATGGCCAGGAGAGAATCCTTGGCAGCACAGCCGAGAGGGAGCCTCTGCCTTTGGTGGCTCTGGAGCTGAGATGTCAGGTTAAGCACCTTGGGATAACTTGGAGAGTTCCTGATGGTCCCAAACTAGACAAATAGATGCGTCCATATATATGTACTGTGTACGCATAAATACGTAATTTGTATGCATACAATGTTTTGGTATCGTGCTATAATTATAAACAGCAATTTACCTGGCAATCAAAAACATATATTAGTACTGAGGTAGGCTAATTAATACTGAAGTAGGCTAAATTGTTAAATACAAATACATGTCTAATGAGTATCTGTGTGCTTGATTCATAAAGATAATAAAGAAAAAAACTGAATTCAAGGGAGTGGGGGAGAATGGACCATGATTGACAGAGATGAGTTATGGTAACTACTAGACTACAGAGGGTTGTAATTAGTCACGCTATGTTGGTTTAAATGGATTTAACACCTGGTTGTTAAAAAGAATAAATTGATTAATTGTTTTAAAGCAGAAATGTTATTGAGTTTCCCTTGTGTCTCTGTGTTTCTTAATAGAGATTAGACATTAATATGAATTTACAGCATTGACTCTAGGGATGTTCATTCCAACAATAGACAGAAGCAAGAGACTATATAAATGTAAAGGAAAGCATAAATACTCCAAATGTGAAATGATAGCTCATTTTAGTTTTATCTTCATTTGTTACATTAATGTCAGATAGATTGCTGTGTTGTGTTGTTAATTTGCAGCTTCTGCAGCAAGCAACTTCCTCCAGTAACTTGGGTGCCTTCAGCGGCATTCAGCAAATGGCCGGTAAGTTAAAAACCATTTCATTTTGCTCCAGTTCTGTTTTGTATTCTTAAACTATTGAATTCTGTACCTCTAATAATCACATTGTCGGGAGTGGAGGGAGGTGTTGTGTATTAAAAGTGGCAGATGTATTGGCAGGGGACAGCTCGAGGTTCAATGTCAATAGAAACACTTTCTCCCCTCTTTCAGAAACTGAAATTAAACCCAGTGCTCCCAGGTTGTGCAAACAGTTTGTCTTGCATTAGTCACCTGCCATTTGTCCAAAGTAACCAATTATAAATTGCAGGAGAGCTCTTAGTCCCTGCAGCCGTATCCTACCCTATGAAAAGTGTCAGTAAAGCAACAGCAGGATTACATTCTAATTTCCAGTGAGATTTCTATGTCCTAAAAAATCAAATTAATGGCAGCCCTCAAACATTTTAATAATAGGTGGTGAGTAGAAGTGTTCTGACCTTTTTAATGAAACCCAAGATTACAGGCCTACCTTCAGTATGAATTTTCAGGCTCTTTTTATAATAGTGCAAAATTAACTGGGTGCCTTTTTGACTTTGGAACCCTAGTTGACAAAATTGCACAACAGAAGCTTTTATGTAAAAGCATAATCTGAAGTCTAGAGGAAAGAAAGAGAGAAAGAAAGGAAAAGAAAGGAAAAGAAGAAAAAAGAAAAGAAAAGAAAAGAAAAGAAAAGAAAAGAAAAGAAAAGAAAAGAAAAGAAAAGAAAAGAAAAGAAAAGAAAAGAAAAGAAAAGAAAAGAAAAGAAAAGAAAAGAAAAGAAAAGAAAAGAAAAGAAAAGAAAAGAAAAGAAAAGAAAAGAAAAGAAAAGAAAAGAAAAGAAAAGAAAAGAAAAGAAAAGAAAAGAAAAGAAAAGAAAAGAAAAGAAAAGAAAAGAAAAGAAAAGAAAAGAAAAGAAAAGAAAGAAAGAAAAGAAAAGAAAAGAAAAGAAAGAAAGAAAAGAAAAGAAAAGAAAAGAAAAGAAAAGAAAAGAAAAGAAAAGAAAAGAAAAGAAAGAAAGAAAAGAAAAGAAAAGAAAAGAAAGAAAGAAAAGAAAAGAAAAGAAAAGAAAGAAAGAAAAGAAAAGAAAAGAAAAGAAAGAAAGAAAAGAAAAGAAAAGAAAAGAAAAGAAAAGAAAAGAAAAGAAAAGAAAAGAAAAGAAAAGAAAAGAAAAGAAAAGAAAAGAAAAGAAAAGAAAAGAAAAGAAAAGAAAAGAGAAAATAAAATAAAAGAAATCAAAGCATAAGTGGATTTGAAAGCCGGCTAGTTGGAGGGTTTCTTAGTAATGAGCTGTGTGCCAGTAGTAACTGATGTGTAGTGATTAGCAAAAGGTCACTCCCACTGTGTGACCTACCATGCTGATACCCTAACTTAACATGATGCTAGAGAAGGCAGCATGTGCAGTAAATCAGAGCACAGATGCACATTATGCCTGCCGCGGGAAACTGTTTAAAAACCTTTTTTTTTTCTTGTTATAGGAAAAAAAAAAAAAGGAAACACAAAACCCCTAAATTGCTACATTAGTTTTTTTTTTAATCATGAACGCACTGAATCAATGAAATACAACATTATGCTTGCTTCATCATTGCAAAACAAGGACTAAAATATTCAGAAGTCTTTATGAACACCATTTCTCACTCTTCTTTTAATCCTGGTCTTCTGCTGCTTCTGCTTTGAATGAATTCTGAAATGCTTTAACAACTATAGATACACCACACTGGATAGCTATACCCCACAGGTATTCTTTGCTCAATTGTTATATTATGCTATTATTGCAGTGACATCAGAGACTAATGTGAACCTGCTGTCTGACAATATAAATTGGCCTACAGATGACAATATCTCTGAATTATTCTCTCCTCCTCAGACCTGCTGGCAGTGCTTGCTGGTTCTATTATGTTACACTTGCAATCTAGCATTTTTTCATCCAAAAAATGTATCTTAATATGATAAACAGAACAGAGCCCTTCAATAACAGTTTTATACTTGGCAATTTGAGAAGTGGCTTTGAGCTCAGAGATTGTGTTTAATGTTTTCATATTTGGTTAGGCCTAAAAAATGAAAGAATTGAGACACCAGGGAAAAATAATGTGATATCCGTTGCATTATGTGCACCTTAGAAGTTTTCTATTGCCCGTTTCTCACTGGTAGTGGGGATTCAGCTTTGTCTTCAAGAACTAAGAATTTTAGTTGAGTAATTTCAGGATAGCCTCTCAGTCTAGGTTATGGTTTGTTATCTGAAAATCATATGGTCTTGAGACTAGTAAAAGTCATCTTTAGCAATCATAGTGGCACATCATTGTTACCTGAGGTATATGCCTTCTCGACAACAGATTAGATTGCTCATGCACTCATCTATGGGATAATTTAGTGACTGACTGCCTCTCATGGAAAATACATAGGTTTTATCTTATATTAATGTTATCAAAACAGCTTGAAGTTTACTCCTTTTTTTTCTCCAAAACATGTGACTAAGAAATTTATGTTCAAAGTAAAATTAGTGATATGAAATATCTCTCCAAGCTGCAGCTTTACATGAAAGTGCCAAAGACTAATCACAATTTCATCATTAGTACTGAGAGTCCTTGTCCTCTCCCCAGAAATCATACAGAATTATGTCATACAGTGCATCTAATATCAAAGACTTGTATATTATGTTTTGTGAAAGGAATAGAAAATAAGCCTGTGTCTGCAATAAGCTCTTGCTTTACCTACTGAAGCCATCCTTGATTTTTTGTTTGCACAGGTTTTTTAGATGTATGTGTTCGTTTTTTCAAAAATAATCTAATAGGTATCTCAGTATTGCTTTTAGTAAAGTATTTCATGGTGAGGAATAAAACTAGACAAAACTGAGCAAGGTGCTAAAGAAGACCCATCATTACACCTTGCAGGTTCTTTGAACTTTGTGTTTGAGTGGTCCAACTTTTCTCTTTGAAGTCAACGAATGTGCTTACCACTGGATTCAAGCACTAAAATTTTGATCAAAAGCCACATGAGCCATTGAAATTTCACTCCTACATGTCAGGGCTCTAGCATCTCTATTGTCTCACTGAACTCACAGTTTGCTGAATTAGGACTTTTAATACAGCCACCCTCTTGTTCAATATTAGAGGTCTTTGGACATACAAGTACTTGTTTTTACTGCAAAAGCTTGTGTTGTCTCTGTACTGAGCAAAAAGGACACAGTACACACCTGGCTGTGCATGTGAAGAAGTATTTGCTATGCAGTCCTCAGTGATATTTTTTTCCTTAAATCAAAGCAATTTTCTTTGCTAGGAGAGCAAAGACACTGATTTTCAGTGTGAAGTTTCGAATTCCCTTTCCCTGTTATGATGCCTCAGTCTGGTTAAAGTCGTTTATAGGTGGCAAAAGCAGGGATGATTTGGTTTTGTGGGAAGGAGTTGGGTTTTTTAGGCATTTTTGGTTGAAGAGAATTGGAGTTTGTTTGTTTGTTTGTTTGTTTGTTTGTCTGGGAGCTGGGGATCCAGTCCAAAGAAAAATACGGATTTTTGTCAAGATCTCACTAACATACAGATACTAAACCAGCACTAGCTCCAAAGATGAATGCTGTTCTTTCTGTTGCAGCCCACTGGCCATGCTGTAAGTTCAGCATTGCCTTTGCCTTGTGTTCATAAACCACACATGATGTCCAAGCAAACCATGAAACTGGCTCACCTAAAATTTGTGAAATACTAACATTTGAGAGCCAAAAAAGCAGTTTGCCATTTAGCTCACCAGGCTTGGGCTTCCACGCTTGGTTCTCCAGTTGAAGTTTGCTCATTTTTATTGAAAAATGAGATTCTCATTAAATTGTTTTATCTCCAGAGCCAAGCCAAAGAAAATAGTTTAATATGTTGAGACTGGTAATAAAGTTGGCAGAGCTGGCAGTACTGCCTTTGGTGTTAGAGTAATAATGATCTTGATTACCAGAGCTTAACCCTACCGTGCCAAACTCCACTGTCCTTTGTAAAACATGCAAGCACATACCATCATCAAATGCGTATTTTGTAGTGAGCTCTTCCTCATTTTCTCTCCCCTCCTCTAATATCTGCTAATGCTAATTTGAAGGCAGTGTTTTCTCTCACATGCCTCTCAAGCCTCATTGTCTAGTCTGTGCTTTGTCTTTGGGGAAGGATAATAATTTAGATTAATTACATTATGTGATTTGATTGTCTTACTTTAAAAAGACAACACAAGCTACATGAAGCACTAGCAACCTTTCAAGCAAATAAAAAATATTCCCCTTTCAAATATATACAAATTGCATGGAAGGCTTAATTCAAAGGAGATTGATGTCTCTTGAACCTTTGCATGGAATTTGGCTGGCAGTGGATCAGGCCTAAAAACTGCAATTATTTAAACCAACCTGCCTGTTTGAGAGCAACCTGGGAAGTACTACACAGACAGTAAAAACAGGGAGGGCAAATGCATAAAGTTTAAATGTCTTAAAATATATGTTCTATGAAGATTTTCTATTGTCCATTAATGTAAAATGTTTTGGAATAAGTATTCACTCATACAGAAATATTTCTATATCAGTTCAGGATACATAAACATAAACATTACTCATAAAAGACAAAAAGGGACTGTCTTGTTTAATTGAGCAGTGTTGTTTGCTTTCTGAAGTCATACAGGAGAAGAAACCATGCTTTTGGCTTTTCTTGTTTTGGCTTTCAGATCCCTAAACCTTCTGCAGCTGGGACTTGTTATATTTTTCCAATGTATGGGTTTTTTTCCAGCCCCTTCCAAACTCTCTCAGTGTGGTTGCATTTTGGGTTGAACCTCTGGCCCTGTCTGAGACCTGTTCCATCCATTTCACCCTTCTTCTGTTACTCAAGCCAGATTTCCTCCTGTTGCAGAGTCTGTAGGAGCAGATGGGTTAGAGAAACTCTGCAAGGTTCTGCTTTCTGAATATTTTCCTCTAATTGTTGGATTGGCTCAGTAGATCTAGAGGGACCGGTTGGAAGCCAGGACCATCTGCACAAAAGCCCTATACTTTGCATTGGCCCAAG